AAACTAGTTCACCTGAAATGCAGGTGTGAACATTTCAAACACCTCATTTTCTCTAATAGTTTCTAGTCATTATGATGATTTCCTGAGAATCCTATCCAGCTCTCAACTACCACTCATTCATGTTCTCATCCTTTCCATATCTTCATCCAGGGCAAATAAATGGTTTTTATTAAGAAAAAGATTAATTGTTTTACAAAAATACCTTGACTAAACCTCACACTTTCACCTCCTATGAGGATTTAGGGAACCATTTTATTATTTTAATTATGTGATACCAATCTCGCTTTTCTTGTTTGGGTGTGAATAGACAGAGAGATTATTGTGGAGAGCAAACAGAAATGAAGTGATGGCTTTAGATGGGACACTTGTAGTAAAATAAATTCAAGAAAGCTGCAGAATAGTTGGTCCTTTAGCTGAAAGGTGCCAGTTTACAGACAGGAGGGTATTGGCAGGCCAAGTTTCTCAGCAGGTATTAAGAAAGGGAGAGGTGCCAGCGCCACGGGCTCAGGGCACACATTGGGATTTCATGGATCACAAATCCTGCCCGGGTTTTTAGAGAGGTTCTCACTGATGGTAGTGCTGAATCCTTGCAGATTGGCTTTTTGAGAAGCTAAGTGCCTTTTGTCCAACCGAACTGATTTCCTGAGCAGAAGTTCTCCCTGCCAGGAGACACAGTTGTACATCAGTGCTGCTGTGGTGAAAAAAACAAGATGGTAAAATGCTGTGGGCTAGAGCAGACTAATGAAATGTAGGGAGGTTTATTTTGTGACAGAGGAAGGGAGCTGTTGTTACTTGGTGCTTGGGTACCAACATCCAAGCAGGGTTCTTTCTGTGGAAATTCAGAGCTCCCCTGGGAGAGTGTGTGTGATGATGATGTGAGAATGTGTGCTTGCTTTGCTGAGGAACTTGGAATGAACGCTGGAAATCAGCATACAGCCAGTGTCCTGACTTCAGTGGAACTAAATACATTTTTGTCTAAACTCTAATCCCTTGAACAAGCACTGCTGTGACATTTGCTGTTGTGGCTGAAACGGAAAGTCTGGATTCTGAGTAAAATTTTCAAAGTTACTCCAACAACTTAGTAGTCCATGTTTAGTGTCCAGTCATTTGGACTTCCAAATGGGAAATACTGGAGAGGTTGCTGAACAAATCACTGCCCTGGATTACTGCAGAATTTCTGTCCTGTTGTGTTGGTTGATGGTGACATTTGCAATATTGTGGAAAAAATGTGCTGGTAAAATGCATTTTGCCCATATCTTTTCAGGTGTTGTAAGCAAAAGTGCCTCAATTGTCCATTTTGTGAAGTGGACTGCAAAACAGCTCCTGTGCTTGTTGATGCTTGTTAAAAGCATCCTCCTCAAGGACTGCTGTGACCATTTATCTGCTCAACAGCTTGTTTAAATCACAAGTGCATGCTGTGTGTCTATAGGGAGACAGGGTGTTAAAGCATGAGCATGGTTTTAATCTGTAAGGCCATACTTTACCTGAAGGTCATTTTAAAATATGTGCAATAAAAAGGCATAGATATGCATAGCTAACATGTGCATTTTGAGAGGGTAATTCAGTTATTGTAGCTCAGGTAATCTCCTACAGCCTGCTACACAAAACTAATTTGTGCTCCACTCTTTAACAAAAAAATCCCAAACTAGAAGCCATTAAAAAAAAAATGAAAAAAAATCTCAAAAAGTATTTTGGAGAATGCAAATAAGGAAATAGAAGCAGGAAGATCTGGTATGAAAGCAGTTTAAGTATTTTTAATATATGAAATTATTTAAAGGGGGGCTTTACTGTGGTTTCATATGTAGTGGCTTTAGGTTTCAGACTAGAACAGTAATCAGTAGTGTCAATTGTTAATTCCCTTTTACCACATGGATCTCCTCCCTTCACCCCAACAGTTATTACTGTGTTCCTCCAGTGCAGGGACTGCACACTCTCAGGGTGGGGGACAGGAACCAGGGACTGTCAGTAGGATTTAAGCAAAGTTCTCTGGCCAAGTGCAACACACAGCAGTGCATCCCTGCTGGCTGACATGCTGCTCAGACTGAATTTTGAGAGGTTGTGTGCTTTTGATGTGATTCCTCTAGTAGGAAAACACAGCAGTCAAGCTGCAAGGTTGTGCAGTGTTTTCAGTTCTGAAGTGAAGTAAGAAATGGATTTATTGCATAAGAGACTAAAATGTTTGTAATGATATATAGAAGAGTTAAATATTGTCCCCATTACTGGGTAAGCAAAGTGACATCTTGGAAGAGCCTTGCAGGCCAGGCTGTCCCCCTACCACCTCCTGGTTTAGTCTGAGCTTGGTTTTACATGCCAGTAAACCAGTAAACTGGTTTTTCACCCAGTGAAAGGTGCCTTTCCCAACACTAGGCAAGAATTCAAGATTTCTCACCTCTTTTTTAACTGGCCCACAATGAGCAATGAAGTGATATTAGCAGGTAGGCTCTCTTAATTAGCAAGCTGCTAATTAAATCTGTTGGGCATAATTGTATTTGATTGTTCTGCTTCTGTAGAGTTTTGCCAACAAGCAGAATTGAGTAGTTCCTCCAGCCAGAGCCATGGTTCTGCTTCTTCCCAGGCTGAACCACTGCTGCTTTGACAGCACAGAAAGCTGCTGGAGCTGCAGTGTGAGCTGGTTTGTCTGTACAGAAGGTGAAATGATTGCTGGAGCTGCAGTGTGAGCTGGTTTGTCTGTCCAGAGGGTGAAATGATTCCCTGCAGCCTTTGGGCCACGCTGCCCAAGGCTGAGGTGTCTGAGCTGATAAAAGTGGCTGAGATGTCTGAGCTGATAAAAGCAGCTCAGCCCTCAGGGTTTGCAGGGACACTGCTTTCCTTGTGCAGAGCTGCAGATTTCACTTCTCAGAGTCAGAGCTCGTTGGTTTCCAGTGACTGATACTGTCATTAAGGAAAAAAAATGCAACCCCCCCTTTATTTTCTTGTGTCGTGTTTTCTGTGACAATGTGCTGAAATTAAATGTCCTGCCTATTAGTTAAAAATTTCAATAACTGACAATTTCCCTTTATGTTTTCTAGTAGTAGTTTCAGGTAAGAGGTAAACGAGCTGCAACAAAATTTTATCTGCAGCGTGTCCTAACAATTCCCTTTTAAGATCATCTTGATCTTATAGTCTTTGCTCTGTCACTACCTCAGTCTCTCTCAAAAAAAAACCCCCAAAAAGGTCTAAATAGATCATGGGCATGTCTAAAATAGTTGCTCTTGGCCTGTCTAGGAAGGGCATTCTAAATGTTTATTGTTTTTTTGAGGCATCATCTCTGTTTGCAGGAATGTTGATAACCAGGGGTGTGGATGCAGTGTGATCCTGTCGGTGTGCCCACAGTTCTTACACTTCAACCCTTCCTTCAGTCAGAACCATCCATTCTGGAAATGTGTCCTGCCACTCCTTTCATTTCCCTGCTCTCCTCCTGGAGGGCACGGCTGAACTCTTCAGCTTTTCTGTGTTCAACCTCCTAAAACTTTCACTCCACTCCAGCCAGCCCAGGCTTGTCACCTTTCTGTGGGGTGAAATCAATGAAACTTTCTTAAGGGGGGAAAAACCTTAGATTATTTTAAACTATTAATGGTAATTAATTTTAACTCAGTTCTGTCAGGTTACATCTGCCCTGGCAGTGTTACAGGGAGGTAAAGACAGGTCTTGTCCAAAACATCACCATTTGTTGTGATTGTATTCAATCCCTGCATTGACTGTTTCCAGCACTCCATTTATTTATTGATTGATTGATATTTAGTTATTTATAACTTTATTTATTTGTTTCATGAAGCTCCTAAATCTTTTGGCAGACCTGGCTTGTTCTGCTTTTTCTGCTTTCTCTCCTATTTTGCCAGTTTTCACAAATGAGAACGCTCACACATAAAACAATTTACAACATCATCAGTGAAAAAATACCAGGGAAGTCTGGGCACTGAAAAGATTCCCAAATACACCCAGCATGATTTCCAGTTTCCCTTTGGTTACAGATGAATGGAATAGCTACAGTGAATGACAGGGGCATTCATTTGGTGCCTCTGCCACCACTGAGTTACCAAAGTCCTCACACCTATAGCCTGAAGCTTCCATTTCATCTTTCTCATGGCCCTTCCAAGAAAAGACAATTTTAGCACAATAAATTCCATTTGTGATCAGCAAACAGGCAGTCCTGCCTCAGTTGTGTGTTACCATTTGAGCTTACATGTAACCTGTCAATCTGAAGGAGGATTTATCCCCTCCATCCTTCCTCTTCCTTTTCCTTCTAGAGAAACCTCCCACGTATCCTTGCAGTCAGACAGAGAGAAGGAATTTGTGTAACACAATAAACTCATGTCTTTGGTCCCAGGTGTAATCCCTGAGGCCTCTTCTTTGCTAGAAATGCAGAGCAGCCAGAGTCTGTCCCTTTTCCTCCTCGTGTCTGTGCATTGGCATTGACAGAAGAGAATGAGAACAAATTCCCTGAAGGGTGGCCATGCTGTTCTCTCTCCTGCCACTGCCTGACACCAGTTGCTAATAACTATTTTTTGTATATAGTAACTGCTTCAAGTGTGGGGTTTAGCATTTGGTTGTAGGAAACCTTCATTTATCTTTGTTCTGTAAATGATTGAGATGCTCTGAACTGCTGTGCTGCTGTTCCCTTTTCTTACCTCTGCAGCGAGGTGTTATCCTCAGAGGAAATAGTCTGATCAGAGCTGATTCAAACCAATCCCAGGCTGTGGATCTTCCTCTTTGAAAACCCTCACCATGACCACAGAAAACAGAAGAGCACATCATGAGCCAATAATCAGTTGTATTTGCATATTTCCCCTTAAATACTGAACCAGAGTTTAAGCAATTAATTGTTAATTTAGACCAACTTTTAAAATGTTGTATTGCTTCCTGCATGAAAGGAAATCATTTAAAAGCCACTATGGGGTCAGCCTACTGCTCTTTAGCATTTTTATCTTTGCCATTAGCTTTGGGTAAAAGTTCTGTTTCTGTGTAGAGGCCACAAATGTTGTTTGTGCTTCCTGTTGCAGAATGTTTATTACACGAGCAGTCAGCAGCTGCACCTGGGTGTTCTGAGCCCCACCATCGACGACGACGACAACAGGTGCCTGGTGGATGTCAACAGCAGGCCCAGGCTCATTGAATGCAATTATGCCAAAGCCAAGAGAATGAAGCTTTACTGGCAATTTACTCAGGTAATTCTTCCCCAGCAGCCATTTCAGAAAGGTTTAAAGCTCTGTTTCTGTGTCGAGGCGTGAGTAATCTGTTCACTGACAGAACCAGATTTATCCTGGCTCTCTTTGCACAGAGCCAGGTGGGTGTTCAGGTTTGATCCCAAAGTCAGCCACCTCACTTAGGGTACAAAACTTGTATTATATTTTCTGAGTTCACCATGAATAACTCGTTTCTAAGGCAGAGTGCTGATGGGGGCGGAAAAAGATTATTTTAGTGGAGTCAAATGTAAAGTAACCTATTTAGGACGGAGGAACATAAATAGTTTTGTTTGTTTTTTTTAGAAGTAGCAACTCAGAAATGGAGGTAGTGGATCATTGGCGATAGCAGCCTCATAATGAGCTAGTTCTGCAGTTTTTCCTTAAAAAAGCTGGTGCTTTAAACATGAGTGTGAGAGAGGCAGAAAGAGGCTGAAGGAAAGGCTGAGAGGAGATTTCAGTGATGAGAATGCTGAACCCTAAGGCCAGGGCTGGTGTCCTCATTCCCAACTGATTTAGAAACATAAGGGAGAGTAAAGAAGCCACAGGAGTTCTGGGCTAGAAAAGCTGTGCCAGAAGCACTCCTGGAGATGGCTGTGGTTCAGCTGGGAGGAAAGGGCGAGGTCTGAGCAGGACACCCCAGTGTTTTCACACGGGGATACAGGTTACCCTGAGGACAAAACAGCTTCCAGTGGCTGGAAGATAGAGACAGTCAAACTCTGCTTTTCAAAGAAAGATGAGTTTTTCCCAAGGTAAGTTTAGCACCATGGAACTCTGCCACGTCAGGTGAATCAATGAAATGAAATTACTTTCTAAAACAAGTGTAGGATTGGCTTCTGGGGGAAGGGTCATGGCTGTGGGAGTTTGCCTGGTGTCACAGCTGCTCCTCTGCAGTTTGGAGTTAACAAATCCAGCTGGCTATTCCACTCCACAGGCTGAGGCTCGCCATTCAAAGCAATTATTTTTTCCCTGCATTTAATTTTTCTGTAACATCCATGTGGGTTTGCAGGTATCTCTTCTGTCGACTCAATAATTTAACAGCCTTTAGCCATATAATTTAGAACCTCATTAATACAATTAGTATCAATCTTGGTGCAGACAACATCTGGACATTAATCAGTAAAGCAAAATATTAGCTTGTTTTGTGTTTATACTTGAAAGTAATTTAGGTTTTTAAGAGGTAACTCAAGCAACTGATCTGAAATCCCTAAAATGGCCCCTCAAGGGCACAATTGTAATTGTATCTTCTCACAGATTTTAACACTAGTCTTCTCATGAGGGGAGCCTCACTGTATCCATCTCTGCACTTGTTTTTTTATGTCATTTTTAAAAAGTATAATTACCATTGACGAGTATTCCAGTAACATTTTAGCATGGTCCACCTATCCAGTGATTGCACTGTCCACCCCAAAGTTTTGGTGACAATTAATGGTTTCTGCTGCAGGATTCTGCTGCTATTTCATTATACTGATAATATCAGATTGTATTTTTTGGGGGGTGGGGGGCAGCAGCAGCAGGCCATGATAATTTAGCTATTAAATTATTTAAAAATGTGATTTAATGGTATTAGGTTTGTTGCAATTCCACATTCCAGCTACAGTCTCTCAGTGAAGGTGCAGTGCTAATAAATAAACTCAACTCAATGGCCTCTCTCTTCCTTCTGCAAAGGAACTTCTCCCCAAGAGAAGTTAAAGCTAATTAGTTGTTTCTTCATGATAAATTAAGAGACAAATGAAATAATTAGAAGTTTTCTGTTAAAAAAAGGGATTTTGCTAATACCTAATACAATTAAAGTGTCATTATTTCTCAACATGCTGCCTGGTGGCCAGCCCTGGGCAGGTTCTGTAAGTTGGGAGAAAGTTCACTGATGTAATCAAGGCTTGCCAGGATCAACTGATGAACTCCATTTGAAGTGCTCCCATTCAGTCTGCTGAAAAGATGTGTTTGTGTAACTGTCCTGGGAGCTCTCTCTCTCTCTCAAAACTCTTTTTTATTACTTTGTTAAAGCTCTGGTATTTCTTTTCCATTTGTTCAGTGAGCAGGACTTCTGTGAGTATCAGGAGTGTAAGCACTGATGTTTACATAGTTCGAAATTTGTGAATTATTAATAAAAATGTAGGTGCCTTTTGTAGCACTTTCCCCTGGCTGCAGCTGCCTCAACTTCCCTGGATTCTTCTTCATTCCATGAGAATGGTATAGGTAAGGAAAAATACTGCAGTGCAAGTGGAGAATTGTCTCAGAAAGGGAACAGGAAACAGACTGACCACCCAAAGCAGGATAAAAAACCAAAGGAGGATAAAATTGAATTAGATTTCCCTGATCAGAACAAAAATCTGTATTTTCTCTGCTTTACAGACACTTTAAATCAGTTTGAGAGAGGAAACACTATAATCTGAGAGGCCCCACAGGAGTCTGTGGTGGGACAAGGACAGCAGTCTGCTTGATAGAAAACTGTACAGCTTTTTTTAAAAACAATATCCTTCAGATGACATTTTAGGAATGAACATTTTAGGAAGGAGCTTCCCTTGTACTGTGTAATGATGAGTGAATTCCACATGACAAAAGCAGAAGATGGAGTTATCCTCAGGGGACTCCTTGCTCCTATAGATCTATTAAAGAATGATTTAATTAAGCATTAAATCACCTCTTTTAGATCAGCAGTGTGTGTTCACACATATACATATGCTTGTGCATATATATCAAACTTGATTTCTTGATTTATTTTAATTTACCTTTTACTTTGGTTTTAAAATTTTAAATTTCCTATCTATCTCCAGTTGCAGGCAGCTGGAGCCAGGCAGCCAGGTGTCCACTTCTACCTTGTGGACAGAACTGTGGTTTGATGGGCAGGCACTGGGAGGGAGGCACCACTTCTTTGTGTCCTTTTGTGTCCTCAGGTATCTCTGTCCTGTACAGAAACCTGCACTGAGCAGTCAAAGCTTGCAGAATGTGTTTGTATAATCAGGATCTCTCTGAGCACATTTCCATGCTCCACAGTTTTGTACAGCTGCCAAGTGCAATGAGACCCCATAAAATGTAGGCTTTGGTGACATTCATGTTTCTAAAGCTTCTTCAAGTGTTTATAACAGTAATTATGTCAAATTATGTAAATTAGCCCAGCAAAGACTCCCATCAACTGGGTGGTGTTTGAGAATGTTATTGTTCAGACTGTTTGTCAAGTCTTCTGTTAGGGAAATGTTTGTTTTGGAAATACTCCTGTGCTGGAATGTGTTCTAGGTGTTTGACAGCTCAGCTAGTTCAGTCTGTCTCATCATGTCCTCATTTCATCAGAACAAAGTTAGAGTTTGGAGCAAAAAACCAGTAAGTGATCAGAAATTAGACAGGGCAGAGGAGATAGAGGCAAGAGCTACATGGTAGTAAAATGGTCAGAATTGCAGTACAATCCTGTTTGCAGTGTGGTCTCAAAGAAGCTGCTCGGGCATCGTGCAGCTCGAGGAAAGCCAAAGCTCAGGCTGAGCTGCTTTTGGCAAGGAGCTGGCAGCAGCTCCTGTGGCAGCGAGTGCTGGCCCAGAGCAGCAGCTCAGCAGCATCTGCCACTGTCCCTGAGCTCAGTGAGGCTGCTGGGGATGCTGTGATGGTGCTGCAGGCTCTGCTGGGTGGCAGGGAAGGGGCTGTGAGCTGTGGGAAAGGAAGGCCAGAGCACCTGGACAGGTGAGGCCTCGGGACAGCTGTCGGTAGAAATGGCTTGTGGCCAGCCCAGTTCTCTGATGTGATCAGGTTTGTGGCTGTTCTGGAGAAGCAGTGCATCCTCAGTGCTGCAATCAGGTTTTCCAGAGGGCAAATCCCCCTCCCCCAGATTTGGGACATTTTAAGAAGCCTCTCAGTCCCCAGTTTCTCAGGTTTGTTGCTGATGCAGGGTTGGTTCCCTGCCCTACGAGTCTCTCCGTACCTCACCTGGGTGGCAGCAGATCAGTTCACTTAAGAGAGTTCACTTACCCCTTAGGGCTCCTCCAGAGGCATAGCAAAGGCAAAAGGAGGAGGTTTTTCTGTAATTACTCTTTATCTTGAACTGTCTTCCTGTTTCTGTTTTGCTGGACAGGGATGTGACTATTCCATTCTAACCAGATGAGCCACATTCCCACCTTTTGCTGTTGTGAGAAATGCAGCAGGGGAGAGCTCTCTGTAGAAAGAGGCTGAGAAAGGACACCAGGCTGAGCTAAAAACTTGGGATTAATCATTTACAGCTGTTTCTTACTTAGTTAATTTAAGTAATTCAGCTTCCAGTGTGGTTGCCATAGAAAGGTAGGAAGAATCTGCAGCTGTAGGGATGGACACTCAGCACATCCTTCAGGGGAGGGAGAAGATGTGCAGGGCCTGCTCTCAGCACTGTCCTGTTCCCATGTCTTCTGAAAACATGGGAACTGTGATTCTAGTCACTGCTGAAGGTTTCCACAGGATGGATTCCCATTCATGAGGGTTTGGAGAGAGTGGTTTGTGCTATGGCCAGAAAATGTAAATAAAATTGGTTGTTTGAAGCTGTAATTTCAATATGTAGTTCCTGAATATCATGGTAGGAATTGCTTGGGAAGGAAAAGGGAAGGCAGACAAACATATTAATTACTGAGTTGTTACAGGTGTTCCTCAGATAAATATGATGATTTAGATCTTATTTTGATATTAGGTAATAGATAAGGAGATCTTCTGTTTAACTGTATAAAGAAAGAATAGACCTTAAAATTACTGAATTTACACCTTGTTCCTCCTGCAGACTTTGGCCTTTCAGTGGCCCTTACCCACCTTTATCTAATGAAAATAGAGGCTGTGACCCACCACCCTGTCCCAGGGCAGCAGGGGAATGCAGCTGAGTGCCAGGATGAAACGGGGGCTGGGAAACAGGAGGAGAATCTCTGTACCGGGTTCAGATGTCCCTTGCTGGGCAGACAGAGTGCAGAAGCAGAGCCCAGCACCATTATCCAGCTCCCTAACACTAATGTCCCCTGCTGCTCTCACCCCACAGCCAGGAC